TCCTTTCAATCCACATATTCACACCGTCCTCGTTTCTCGCAATCTCACACCTCATGCTGCTGTCGAATTCTTGTCCCCGGATCGCCCGTTCTTCTTGCACAATTGGACCTACTGTATCTCTAGTTTGCTGCCTGTTGTATCCGTATTTTCGTCATGAAAGCCCACCTTAGACTGTGCTTGGCGATCTGTCACAAGCCCCCAGGAAAACTGGCGTGTCCCCACTTGCAAGGTCTATCTATGTAGGACTGATCAGCAGTGTCGTGCTGTGAGTAATATTTTCATACAGAAGCCAAAGACGCCTTAAGCTTGGTCTACAGCAGTCGCACTGATCAAACATGCCAAGTTATTCGACGAGTTTAAAGCTCGTCTCCTGTTCGCTATCCTCAGTCGCTCTTTGCTGCCAGTATCGACTAAGCGCCGCTCATGATGCAAGTCGGTCCCATGCGAATTAACGATCTTCGGCTGCGGGCGTCGAATACGAGAATAGATGGAGCTGCAATTGAGCTGCAATGGCTCGATTTATCCATCACGTGTTCATGCTCAAAAGCGTTCTGTGACTTTGCCAAAAGAGGGTTAGCGGGGATGGGGTTGACGTTGAACGTGCTCTGCGGCTCTGCCCCCACCGCGGTCCCTGATCTTGTCCCTGGAATACTTGCTACCATCGCGCCGTTGGAAACTATGCGCTGGAGACCCAAAACCATGGGAGCCTTTGCCTGTATCTCACATCAGGGTGATGACTCCCCTGTATTTATTGGAATTTCGCCTCACTCTCAAAAGACAATTTGCACATACAGCTTGTCCTCCCGTTCTTTTGATAGGCTCTCAACGTGTTTTGGACAGAACTAGGTACCATTTAGATATTCTCGGATTTGCATTACATTTGCTGTGACTTGTACGTACAACAAGGAGCTGCAAAAGCATAGCCAATACGAATGGTGCGTCTTTGTTTACTACGTTTGCCCATATTGCACCACATTTTCTGTCCTCTACTCGCGCTGAATTCTAACCGACTGGTAGGTGCATACCCCACATGTCCGAAAATTTTATGTTGGGTCGATCACACTTGCAGCCACACCCTACCCTTAGAGCTCCATGTCTGCTGTCCTCTGTGTTGCCTACTGCTCGGTGTCTATTGTCCTTACAACCCCCTTCGTCAGCACTCCAACCTCGATGACAATGGGCCATGCCAGTGCAATCTAGGCATACCCTCTTTTTCGGGGTCCGTACTGCAGAATGCAACCCAGTCTTCACGAAGCGCCACGAAGCACTTCGGGTGACGACCTAAAGCAATGGAGCTACTACTTTGAGCACATATGCCGAAGATAAGCGCGCGGCAGGCTTCCACTTATGAGAATTCCCCTTCGCGGATATCGCCGTGCCGTACATTCTATGGTACGCCTTATTTCTCGCATGTGTTTGGGCTCTACTACTCACGAATGGTATCGTGTGCACGCATATATTGCCCAGGCAAATCCTTTTTGGCTGATTCCCGCTTTCTTGATGCATATATGCACGTTGCTACCCCACCCTCAATCTCCTCCCCCTCGTACATCTACCTGCATTCGAGACTATCCATGCCGACGTGCCCATCATCGATGGTGTGTATATTATCGACCCCTTTTGACAGCCAAAATTAAACCTGAAAATAACCTCGCAGCTCAAAATCGAAGTCAGAGCGATACAGGAACAGAAAGTCGTGGTAGCATAATGCGTGTGCAAGGGCATCGTATTTGTCATGAGGAGTACTGCATGAATGTTCGACGGGCGCATAGTATGTATGTATGTCCGTCCATGTTGGTCTGTGTCTGTGCGCTTACCAATGTGTGGAGCACCAATCCTGCTTCCAGTCTCGCCCGCCGCCTCCATTGCATTGTTCTACCCGTTTTCGTCATCCGCGACTGCGGTGTGCAGTTTTGGGTCGGTGGATTTCATTATCGCAGCGCTGACTCATAGAGGCAAAGCTTGGGCGCAAATAACGGTATCAACGATCGCCAAAGAGGTTGGGCACATCTTCCATCTCCAAGATGACGACGCCAGCTTCTTCCAATTCTTCCTCAATCTCACACGCAACGCGGTCGGCTGGTGTACTCGTGACGATACCCCAAGGCTCGACACGGTCATACGTCGCGTGTGCGCCGCGGATGAGGAGCACTTCGTTACCGCGAGCGAGGGCCGTACTGCATGTCGCACGGACGCAAAAGTCGCTCTGAAGGCCGACGACGACAAGGATGGCATCAGGGGGAACAAGCTCTGCAAGGGCTGTTCCCGAGAAGGCGTTGTTCTTCCGCTTGTCGACAACTGGCTCGTGCGGGAGCGGTGTGTGCACGAGGGCCCAGCCCGGCGCGCGGGGCTCATCGGCCTCCCCAGGTGCACCGGCGTTGCGGACATGGACAATGCGTGGTCGTGTGCGTGGTGGACAAGCGCGTGCTGCAGCAAGGATTTTGGCAATATTTGGACCGACGATGCGTGCGGAGGGAACGCCGATGGGAGGGTCGGACAGCGGGGCGACTTGGACGTCGAGCAGAAGGAGCACGCAGGAAGTATGCGAGTGGGAGTGTCCGTTGACTTGTGAGGGAGGGAGTCCATTCGTCTGCGGGCACGAATGAATGATCTGTGGGGGTGAAGGTGCGGATTCTGAGGAAGAAGGTCCGTCAAGCTTAGTCGAGTAGCCCGAGCCCAGCATAGCGGCGGGGTTGATAAGGGGGCTGCGGTGCGGAGGGTGAGCGGGTAACGTGGCTTTGGATTTTACGGGGAGGGGGGATGAGAGCAGAGCTGGTGATTGGCACTGGGAGAGTCGACGAGCCGTACTCGCCCAAGCCAAGTCGCTGCTCATAGGCTGGGCGCACGTGACCCTTGTCTAGATCGATCACAGGCCGAGACCCGCAGGTGCGTGGTGATGACGTTACTCTCCGCCTGCTGACAAAGCAGTCTTCCTCGTCCACTTTGCCATTCTGCTCGACTTGGTCGCAAGCGTGGCTATCTCACACGCCGCATCCCCTCGCTGTTTCCCTGCTCCCTTTGACTCCTCAGGACTGCCTGCATGTAGAACTCATACTGTCCCCCACAACCACTCTCATCAAATCATACGCTTCTAGGGCCGTCGCCCTCAAACTCTATTCTAGCGGCAATTCTCGCTTCAGATCATAGCTCTCGTCTTCCCTTCCTCACCCTGTATCAGGACAGTATCTCCCACATATAATGTTTTTCGAGATCCCTATATGTCCTTGCTAGCCCTCTTACACGCAGAGTGATGTCCTTCAGGCTCCAATGTCCAATCCAGCAGTGAGTATGTGTGAGTATGGGTGCTATTGATGTGCCTGATCGCCTGCAGCAGCCGGCTGGGCTGCAGTTTGGCAAGCTCAAGACCGTCATCGTGGGATGTTTCCGTTACATGTACGCCATGTGTTCATGCCCTCGGGTTTACCTCGGTCTGCTTGTCTTCTCTTTCTCTCACCTTGATGTCGCGAGCCATAATATGGGTGCGCGAAGCTGCAAGGACGAACAATACGGCAGTATACCATAACCCCGTCATGCAGCCCACATTAAATGGAACTTGGAATTCTCCTTGTTCTGAAGCGTCACATCTGGATGTCATATTCGTCAGCTTGTACGTACAAGACCCTGTAACAGCGCCTTATAGTTCATTGAAAATTGCGTATCCGGTAAGACTCCCCTCAGCGCTGTCTAGAACACTTTCATTTTGACGTCGTATTTCAAGTTATCTCTGATACCTTAACACATCGGACCGTCGGCTATTTGAATGCGATAGGACACAATGCGATTCAACTAGCACACATCTGTCATCTAGAGTGGTAGTGGCGATGTGGCTTGTCATCGGAATCCGAGGCACTGTCGGTCTTGAGGTACGTGGCACGTTCGATTCTGCCGTCGTTACCGCATTACATAGACATGACACCTTTGCAGGGGTTTTAGCTGACAGCGTGCGTGTATGCATGTTCTCCGGCGCAAGTAACTTGCCGGTTTGGGTGTAACAACGAAAGCTGGGGCTAAGCTGCTATCAACAGACCCGAACAAGCTTTGATAAAATATTTTCGGTCTGATCAGTCACAGCAAGCTAGAACGAGCCCTGAATCAGATGCTGGATTCCTCGTGCTTTACTCGGACAGTCCACTTGTACGCGGAAACTTTACGTACACTTGCTTTTTTTGACATTCTCTCAATATCATTTATTTATCTTCACCTGGAGTCGACTTTCAGATGGCTCCGCGACTCCACATATTCGCATTCAGATCGTGAGCTCTCATAACGCACAATAACATCTCATTCCCATGTATTGAGGCTAATTCGCAGGCAGGTCTCTCGACATGTAGTCTATATTCAATGTAATATACATGCACTATATTTTTCTTAGCTTCGTGACGTGACTTAAATCATAATGAGGTCCATTCGCGGGGATAATCGTGTCTGGTCCCGTTCGCTTGAATCCCCCTGATGACACAGATATTCCTCGCCGGTCTGAAGAGGATTCGATGCATCAGCCTGCGAGCGCCTATTAAGATTGCTCTTGTCCTTCATGAGGTGTTAAGGTCTTCCTAGCTTGTGTGGGTTTATGAATTTTGTCGCATACACGTGAAGTGCATATATTCCTAGCTATGTCTCTGAAAGCTGCGCCTGTTCAGATAGGTTTAGAGCTGACGGTACAGTTAGAGCTCCAGCAGTACCTTAAGGACTAAATTACTCCCGGTCCGTCGATATTGCCGCGTGGTGTTTTCTATGCCCATTCTCTGACCTCGAAAAACTAAGTGTGAGTTAATACTCTTGTAGCCAGTTTTAAGTACTAATGTATCTGTGTCTCCGTCATCTTGTTCAAGATGCAGCCAGGATTAGTCTATCCAGGTGGCTCATCTCGCAAGCGGAAATATCACCTAGTGGTACGTCATTTTCAACTGTCCCAGGACTTGCACAAGGGGTCAGTGTCCAATGAAGATGTTCATGTCGACACAGCCGAGCAAAAAAGAAGAGTCGCATATCGTTTACGCAAAAACAGACCACTCGCTTAGGATTCGGTGTCTATCTGCACGGTGTACTCAAGCTTGTATTCAGAGAGCGTCCACAGTTCTTCGACCTGGCTCGCGCTTATCACATCTGTCGCATTCTGCAGGCGGAGGTAGACTCGGTTCCATGAGATGGGGTTTCGCTGGAAGATGCCATTCAAATCCGAAGTTTCACTCGCACCATTTCGTCGAGTTCACATCGTGCGAACACCGTTCGCATTGATATCTGTATACACCGCAATGGTCTACAGGAAGACACCCTGTCTCTCATCGTCCGTTGAAGAGCCTGAGGCACCTACATCTCTGCTTCTTCTTTAACCATATTCATCTCTAGGGACTATAGCCGGCTGAAGAAGTGCACCTTTGAGCTCAAACGATTTAACACTATGGTGTTGCCTTGTTCGCTGTTAACTCAAATTCTCGCGAGGCAGCGGAACATCGATTCAGCCTAGTTTCTCGCCTATGGAATAGGATCAAGAAAGAAAGAAAGCCCGGAACACCACACGTCTAGATGTCTGTGGATGAGAAACCCATCATCGATCGTGCATTGGTCCCATTCTACCATCGTCTTGTCAGCCTGGGATTCATCCGGGAAGTGAGACTTCATAGTAATATGGTAGCTTTGGAATCAGACCCTACAAACCTAGTGAGTCATCCACACTGGGATACCGACAGAAATCGAACGCGCTGGTTGATATGGTCTCATAGAACACCGTTATATATGAGAAAGAGTTGACTTCTCACATCTGAGTCAACTAAGCGTCAATCCACATGGCCTGATTTTCGGATGATAATATGGGCACGACGCTGGAGGAGCCAGTCGTTCAAGAAGGAAACTTTGTGAGTGTCTGAAAAAAAGCAGCCCGATACATAGTGTGCTTGTTATACCGGAATGGACATCGTAAGTCGGTATATTCTTGTGGATTCCAGTATAACTAAATGATGACGTGAGGGTATCGAACAGACCGTACCGCACTTGGTTTTCTGGCCATGCACCTAAACAATACATTGTGAAAGCTCTTCGAATTGTTCGAGTAATTGCTACGCAATATCTTCCCCCTTATCATAGGCTTTGCGAACATTGGTTCAAGGGGTACATTGATTGTGTGGTATCTAACAAGTCGGTATGTCACAGAGCCACTAGGCATAGTTTAGGGGTGTATAGTGTGCGTATTGCTGACGAAAGGCAACAGGTGAGGTTTTCGCTGACCTGCAAAGCAGACGATTGATGGTCCATGGATGGACAGACGAAGCTTGGAGTGATACTTCACAGGGCATGTATCACGCATTGAGGAGTATTCTGGCCTGGACGATAAAATTTAAGAGAGCGGCTTCGGCGGAGAGTTTCTGCGTCCCCGCGCAAATCAGAGGAAACCCGTGCAGGTGTTCCACAGATGCTCTCACACTCCCAATCCCACTTGCAAAGGTAGGGTACGCGAATCGTTTTCAAGCGCGGAAGTGACACCACTGGTACAGGATGATTCTGCAGACTCCCAATGGGCAATTCTCGTGGTGAGTTGACATCCACAGGCTCCAATCTATGTTCTTCATCGTTTGCATTGGCGACGTCCTGGCATCCATTGGAGGTTGGCTTAGTCGGCGAGCAGTACATGAACGACAATCCGAGAAGTGATTCGTTTCTCATGGACGAAGAGACACAATCTGTGTTCAAATTTTGGAATGGCGAGACAGAAAGTCCCATTTTCGCCCACTCACTCTCGGGAATACCCTGTCCAAGCGTAGAACTCCATCGATGGGTGCAAGCCGATGGCGCCACAGTATCCTCCGCGGGTAGAACACAGTGCTCAGCTGCCACGCATATCGCTTCTTGGCGGTAGTCGTCAATGCTACATAAGTAAGGTGAGCATGATGCTAAAATATGAGGACCAGACATACATCTGTTCTACACGAGCCACACAAGCTGCTTGCCACAGTGACTTGCATTTGTCAAGGCTGCGTCGTGCCCTCTGTTCCGGTAGTAATTCCTCATGGTGTACCGAGAAACTGGTCCCTTTATCCTCAATGCAATCAGGTGCAACCTGCTGATCAAGATCCCAGTATCCTCCCACAGTCACTGTAAAGATCGTATAGTGAGTATGAACAGGTTGTGAGTATTGTGGCAGGATGCGCACCATGTGAAGTCTCTGGACATTCAGGACTCTGCAAGTCAGAGGGAGGCAAAAACCTAGTGTCAAACGGCTCGTTCTCGTCACCCAGTTCCTGATCTTCCTCATCTGGTGACTCCTCTGTATATCCGAAAAACTCGTCCCAGAATCCTTTGTTCAACGGAATGTTGAGCTCATTTACACATGTAGTATCGCTGTCTAACGAAGACGGAGAGGGGATCAGGTATTCGGGTGAGGCTGACGTCAACGTAAGTAAGAAGAATGATAAGAGATGGGATGCATGAAGCTTACCAGAAGGATTTGCAACAGACTTGGATCGTTTCCGGTACTCTTCGTGCTCTTCATCTTCCGTACGTATCTTTCGCTTTATTCCCCTGATCTTCTCCAACTTCTCATCTATGGACCCGCCGCAACGGTCGTATTCGCAAGTCTTTAAGGTGTCGCGTGACATCAAGATTGGCAAGGCGGAGACAATGTGTGGTCCTTGATAGCCTGAAACACGTAGAATGCCTAAGGTAAATGGTGATTGATACACTATAGCACAAGATGGCCGATGATGGAGAATAGTAGGCGAAAGAAACATACCTTTTATAGGTGCACGGCCACAATGCACAAAGGCCCGCCACCTACTGCGCCACTACGGTCAGACCGACAACGAGCCACTGGAGATGCAACAACATTGCGATACTGAGCAGTATAGGCAAAATCCTTCACACAAACTGCTGCCATGGCAAATGGTATTGATATACTACTCAAAGGATGATGCACTCGCAAGCTCATGAACAAATCCCTTGTCGGTTGATGCAGGAATACAGAAAGCGAGAGCACTAGAGTCCCAGATGGGTACCAACCTGGCGACATTTTGGTGCAGTATGCGTAACAGCAGCTCAGCCTGTGCTTCAACCCAATAGATGATGGATGCACGGCACGTTGCTGAACTTGGCCGCTCGCTCGCTTCAGGAACACTAGTACGCATAGCGTGAGTCTGTCAATTCAGTTAGTTTACTGTGGATGCATGGATAAGGAGAAGTTCAAAACTCGTGTTTTTATTTCCTTCGTATTCTAGTATCCTTGGGCAATCAGAGAAAAGGATACCATGCGGCATGAAGGTGGGATTCAGCTAGCTGCTCGCTGGGAAAGGCAAGCACACCTCAGTATGTACTATGACCAGACCAGACTTCTGAGTTCAGTGAGGGCAACTGCGTTGGCAGGGGGCGAGGCCTGTCTCGAGAGAAGCAGTCGCACGGCTTACGTCGCGCCCAATCCTGCTACATGCTAGTTCGACCCCAATTCTATTCTCGCTGAAGTGGCTTAGTTATTTTCCAGCAACGTTTAGGGCCTGTGCTCACTTTTCCATTAAAATTTTGCCGTCGTATTCTTCTTTTGAATCTAGATACAAACTGGTTTTCTCTCCCTCAAGAGCGAGCTCTCTACTATGTTTGCCGACTGGTCTTGAAGTCGAACCGCAATGGCTTGTAACGATCATGCTACTATTACTGCTTGCCTGACTATCCCTTCCTTGCGTTGCATGAGAATTTGATCAAGCAAGTCGTTGGTTACTACTTGAATAGTAGCACGAGTTGTCATTCTGCCAAAAATGGGTAGAGCCCGAGATCAAAGACCCTTTCTACTGTGCCACGTGGTAGCGGTTTGCTTTGATTTTGCATGATGTCGCTCAAAGCGCAAATGAGTAAGGTCAGTACGGGTCCTACTACTGTGTTCTCATCTATTCGCACACGCTCATACTCGCCACAAGTGCAACAACTGTTACGTGAGTGGGACAGAAAAAACTCTGAGCAAGTGTTTTAGATGCAAGGTACATAGCATGAGCGGATATTCCTCCAAAACGTGATTATGAGCAGTGATGATACATCTGTTATAATAAGGCTGCAAAATACTGCTCCCGAGAATGCCAGAAGGCCGATTGGAAGGTATGTCCTGACATCTCGTATACGTCTCACCCTATACATTAATCGCCGATAGAACCATAAGGTCAATTGTCTTAACAACGCTCGGCTCGCGGATGCTCTCAAAGAAGTGGATGCCACACCCCTTAGTCTACTGGATCGACTTATCCTTCCGGATGGTATATCTCTATATGAACTCGACCAGCGCCTCGAAAAGTGGGTGCGTTTTCATGATCCGACCCTCATGGGCTCCACCCTCCACGCTTTGCGCCTCCCAGAAGACATAACCCGTTCCCGCACACACACCTCTTACACGTTCGCCTACGCCCGCGTAGCGACCATGGCGGCTCGCTAGCGAAGTACTTTCGCGTCATCGACACGAAAGTCATCGAGGTCACTCAAGCACTTACTTGGGCGGAGCCTTGGCCCGCCAGCATCATTGCGCTATGCGAGATGCAAGACGACAGCGAGCGTATGAGCTGAGGCCACGTCGCTGCGGCAATGATCGAGTGTGCTCCACTGGCTGTACAGACAGTTCCGTTGGAGTCTATCAAGGACTTGCCAGACCTGCCGATTTTATCAAATTGGGAGGACTTACTCAAAGGCTACATAGAGGAGGGTAAGAAGTTAAGACCTCCTGGACAGCCTTGACAAACATCTACATGGGGAGGGATGTCATAACATGTACGTGTTCGAAGGCTTTTGTCATTGGAGGGGGAAACTGGTTTTACCATACCTATTGTATGCCATCCATATAAGCTTATATTTGCTGACCGCGAATCGAACTTAAGTGACATATTAGTATATTACGGGCTATTGTTGATCATAATGACATTTTGATACGGTCTCCTTCGCGGGTAGAGGTGTCAATCTACACCTGATTTATCTTGACAGTAGCACGCGCTCCGCGAGGCTCGACAAAGATTACATCCTCAGCTGAACTGCCAACATGATGGGTGGGAACTGTGTAGATGGCTCCACCCTGACTTACCGTCGTCTTGTCGACAACGGGATTGATAGGTATCCAGGGTCCACTCAATTGTCGAGCGATTTTGAATACCAGACGCTCGAATGTAGCCATCCAGGGACTGATGCGAACATGACGCAGAAGATCCATTAGTTAGCGAAGCAAAACTTTATCTGAAGCTGACCGCGCCGCTCAGTTACGAGATGGTACAAACACCGATAATTTGCTAGGCGACGAACTAAATTGAACACGAGAACAGCAGCGACAGCTTGTCCCCGAGAGATATGCTGCGCAAAGATCTCTCTCCCGCTGAGCTGCCAGCGGAGTATCTGAAAGGGGACTTTATCAAAACAGATGGCAAGCGGATTCAACTTTTATTGCATTACAGCGTATGATGTAGCCGATTGCTACGGCCGCCTTGACACTTCAATCTGTATCCCGCACCAAAGGTCTGAGAGGCCATGCAAACCGTCATCTCCAAATTGAGGAAGATAGCTGTAATACCGTAAGAGATGCGAGGCACACGGACAGAAGCTGCATCACACCCTGAACGCGGAGTGGAAGGGTTACGAAATAGTGCGGAAGTTCAAATCAGACGTCGAGAAACACTTCCACGGCAGGGATTTGCCAGAAACACACGTCAGGATCTTGCCCATCGGACATGGTAAATCAGTATTTTTACCAGTGCGTTCAATCTCCGTGACAAAAGGATGGATACATATCAAGCGCTCGTCGTGTGTGACGGACTCGGTGCGCCGGCTGTGTCATAGTCCGAGCCTAACCGATGTCACAGGTGCGAAGCATCGGCCCCCATCGCCAATAGCCAAGTTGTGGTGGAGGGAATATTGACACTGCACATGCAGGCCTTATACAGCGAGGAAATCCGCCTCTTCTTCAAAGAGGAGGTCGAGGAACTTGAAGAAGGATGCAGCAGGAAAGCCCACAACATTGTTGTAATCACCATCGACCTTGCGAATGAGTACTCCTCCCAGACCCTAAAATTAACTTACATGTGAGTATAACGAAACATTTTGGATGACAAGACGCACTTGAATAGCAAAACCTCCCGCACGATCTAAACCCTCACCGCTCTCCACGTAGGCGTTGAGCAATTCCTGCGAGTTCTCGGCAAAATAGACAAGCGTTCTTTCTTCAATGGATCTAGAATCGCCGTCGGGTAGATGTCCTCAATATAGATTCACAAAGCATGCACCACACGCGTACTTGATCTTATATCCGGGAGCTTCCAACACCGGGTACACTGGGGTTACATTCGAAGAACATAATCATAGTCTGAGCAACTGTATCGGAATGGGCCGCGGATGCGCACATACCTACTGACACGCCAGTGACAACTTCACACACACCACCATTCACATCTAGCAGCATGCGCATGTTATCTGCCTTTGATATTGGCTTTTCTAGCAAGTCTTGAGGAGTCAGAGGGATGTCTTGGGGGGCGAAACTTGTTAGTCCAGGCATGGGATGTGTTAGGACAACGGTATCGGCTGTCGTAGACGTGTTAAGACAAATAATGAAACACTTTAGTGGCAGAGACAAACCTCCAATGACGAGATCAGGCGCATCGTCGGGACTCGCTTGCTAGCCATGGTGTAATTAGTAATGCGACGCAAAAATGACAAACAAATGAAAGGAGATCGGTTTTCAGTATACTCAGGCTTATAGAACTTTCATTGGTAGTCGCACATGCTACTTGCTCGCGTTCTACAAATGTCCAATAAATTGTCCGGTCTCTCCCGACGACGCACAGGGGCTCAGATGACTGCATTCCATCAGATTCCTCGTCGAAGGATTAGCTGGGGAAGGAGGAGTACACAAAGTGGTTGAGACACCAAATGTCTCGGCATAGGGATGCTCCTCGTACAATAGCTTCAAATAGCAAAGATGCTCACCACGAGTTGCTCGTACACTTCCACAGCCTTGTGTGTCGCTGTCGCGACAGGATATTCATGTATGTCCTCAAACGAGCTGACGGGCAAAGTCTCCTCGAATGTTGACGGCACAATCTCTGGTGCCAGGCCCTGAGGAGCAGATACACAACCTACCGTAAATCCTTAAAGTTCTCTAGCAAATACATATAACCCACAAATGTTTGTAGGATCTCCTTCCTCCTTGGACTGTTCGAGGCGAGAATGACACGCTTGCCCACTAGCTTCTCGAGCGACGGAATCCGAAGGGCGTGGGGCATGACACAGTTATGCGCCGGGAGTGATATGTTGCTGGGAGTCGAGCTGAAGAAACTCAGCATAGTTTATGGATTGTGATGTGCGCAATCACTACAGACAAGAGTAAGAGCCCAGTCAGATTTGGATTCTACAGTGACACAGTCTACGAGCAAGTCGCCAACTCGGCCTCCAGCATATTGCCTAAACCAGAAGTGAGCCATCGGTGCCATCACGTGTGTCCAGGACGTATGAACAACTATTTTTAGACTCTTGACTCTGCTGTCTCGACGAGACTTCGTGCTTGAAGACTCTTGGCACAACTTGTGTGTGCTTGTAAATCCCTTTGCTTATGGTCTTTGTTTTTATTTTCATGTTGAGCCGCGCCTTGCTCAGTTTCCAAACGTTCCGGTTGTACTTCCGGTAAAACAGTTCGGGCCCGATAAATGCTGATTTTAATAATTTCGTTTGCATTCATGACAGAACGCTTTACCTTAAATGTTCTGGTTCATATCTGACTCCAAGGACTTCATCGGTCCATAAATATCCTCCATTCTTCCGTCTTCAAAGTTCAGCAGGTGGAGGAACTTCCTTTGAAACAGCTGGAGCTTGTATCTATTCGTGCGACATCGATTTTTGCCCCAACATCCGTCGAGTGACTCTACGCCGCTACTTGTGCGCACTGGTGTCCATGGCCTGTAGCAGATTTAGTGCTGAGGATTTCAGCTCCCGTTCTTGTCGCCCCATTGCCGCATCGGGACAATGTCTTGAACGCCACCCCCGCTGCATCCGCGATGTGCATCCGCCGCCACCCCCCGCTCCGTACATTCCAATCTCTGAACCAACCCATCAAATTCGTAACCGCCTTTGGTTCCCATTCTTCCTTGGCGGGATGTCGTGGATCAGTAACACCCGTCTGCCCCGCCGGGAAGGTCACCCGAGCGCTTACCCGAGCTGCTGCTTGTTTGAGATGGAGTCTCATCCTCCCTTGCTCGATCACCCCCTGTATAAGTAGTCCCCTATATTAATGTTCGTTATCTCCAGTTAGGTGTCTTATCATTTTCTTCTTTCTTCCCCCTTCCTCTTTTCATCCCCTCTGCTCAGGCTGCTGGTGTACGTATACGTTGATGCGGCGTTCTTGTCAGCTGGTCTTTGATTTTGACTGGACTCATCTTGACAGCCGCCAATCATGTTCCGATCCCAGCAGTATGTCCTCCTCGCAGGCGACGACGAGTCCGAGGTCTCCATCAGTTCGATTGAGCGCTTTGCCGCCATTCCTCAATCGTTGCTTGCACGGGTCCGACAGACGAGGGAGAAAATGAGGATTAGGTCTGAAGCATCCAGAGCTGCTTCGGTAGAAGCGAAAGCGCGTCGAAAAGCCTTGATGCCTTCCATAGACAGCATTTCAAACGAGCCTTACACGTAAGTCCGGTTCCCCTCATCTCGAGGATGGTATTGACCATCATGTTCAGCTACGCCGGTTTCTACGCGTCATTTTATTATCTGCCACCTTTTTAGGATGGCGATTGTTACGAGTTACGAAACATTCATTTTAAATGATATACGGAAGCAGCGGGATGTAGTAATTATTATCGCGATCACTCTCTTTAGCGTATTTATTCACGCCTCCGACGATATTATATATTTATGTCACGGTCAGCAATGGAACGTTTTGCATTGTTGTACAGTTCAATTGAGGTGGTTCAGGTGTGTGTGGAAGTATACACAGATGACGAAAACGAAGAACGAAGAGCAAAGGAATCCGACGCCAGTGTGGGTACGACCCCTTCTATAACGCTACTACATCCTTAAACTCGCCATTTTCCACCATCTCCTGTACAACGTCGAGTCCACCCACAAACTCACCCTTGATGATGAGCTGCGGAAATGTGGGCCAGCTGTTCAGCACCTTGAGCCCTGAGCGCACTTTATCGTCGGTCAGGATGTCGAAATGTGAGAATTTCACGCCCTGTTCGCGTAAGAGCGCGACCATCCGCCGCGAGAATCCACACCGTGGTGCGTCCGGTTCTCCCTTCATGAACAGGACGATATTATCCTTGAGCATGAGCCCGTGTAGCCTTGCATTAAGCTCCTCGGGCGTTTCTTCTTTTTCGGGCTCTGCGGGTGCGCGATCGCTGGATGAAAGGGGTTTTACGGATGGAGGTGGTCGGGTATGCTTCGCGATCATCTCCGTGAGAGCAGGAGCATCTGCGCCTGAGACGCGCCCGAGGAGGGTATGTCCCTATTGTGGCCGGAAAAGTCAGACATTACGATTTCACGCATGCACGAACGACTGAGGGTGTACACACTCGGAGGATGATGAATGCAGGCACTGCCTCAATCTCAAAAGACTCTGAGATGTCCGACTGCTCTTCCGCCTCCACCTGTGTGGATTGAGTTAGACGAGCCAATCTCCGATGATATCCGCGAGCCACTCACCTGCAAGACGAGCACCTGCGGGTATTTCTTCGCCAGCTCTAACACAACATCATTCATCTGCTTGCACGGTTCTGCCCATGGCGCCCAGAAGTTGATGAGGGAGACTCGCTCGAGATCTGCAGAGAGCAACGACTGGAAATGCTCGGATGAAGCAACAGCGTGAAAGTTATCAGGTACTTCCTGGACGGTCATTGTAGCTACCGTTCAATAGGCTTGAGGACAGACAGTGGGTATTCGTGGTGGTAGAGGAAAGAGAGCAACAGTGAGCAGGCTTCGGGCTAATACAGGTCAAGGCCGACCTTGCCATTACAAACTGCAATTGTATGATAAGATGAAGATGGCGCAATTCGGATAGATCCGTCCGTAATCTCTTATCACAAACCGCCACCGCGATCCGAACCCGGCCTGCTTGCAATTGAAGGAGCAGGAGTGGTAGTACGCCTGGAAGAGATTTTATATTTTGGCAGCCACTCACGGCGTTGGTCAGCAGAAGCGGCGGTAGTCTCGGAGCACAGCGTGTCGTGAGACAACTTTCCACCGATAAATGTTGTCACATTCAAGAATGTAGAGGGAATATAATATAACCCGAACGCCGGCGCAACAGCATCGACACCACTAGATTGATACATGTAACATAGCTGTCCCTAGTGTTCACACGCATTAGACCACCGGTTCCTCGACTCGGGTCCGCCGACGACCACGATCGACGTGCCTGCAGGCGACCAATTAAAGTAGAGTGAATGGGCTCCCCGACCCGACATATAACCGCTATTGCATTCTCATGTCCACCAGTATGTCCGTGTGAGAGAAGAGTAAGCCATTCCCAGACGATGTCGAGCAGGCGTTACGGATGCTTGTCCAACCATTCGCTGACGCGCTCCACAAGCTCCGCCTTTCTCCCAGAGACAGGTTCGCTTTTGCTTTTGAGGAATTCCTGCGAGATTGAGCCCCGACGGACGACATATTTGGTATCAGTGATCGGAGGAATTATACCGCTTTGATCAACACGAAGAACACCCGCGAGGCTAGCCTGAGAGGACCTGGAGAGGGCTCATCACACAAAGAACGCTCTCGCAGTCCCTCTCAGACAAGTCTAAGACAACAAGTTCTAGACGTAAAAAAAGCATGGGAATACACTGACCTTTAACTGGTCGAGTCGGAGCTAGAGTGAGGAACCCATCAGTCATGGCGGCAAAGAAGACACCGTAGACAGATGGACAGTAGGTGAGTGCCCAACACGCACCTTAGCAAGCATCCCAACCTCGTGCTTACTTCTGATTTCCGCCTCGTCGACGCTGATGTCCTGCACCACAACACATGATGCCAAGTCTAGAGTAACCCCCGAACAAGTTATAAACATACCGCTTTGCGCTTGGATCCGGTGGTCACGATGACGCTGTTTGCTGCCTCATCCTGCAGCAAGATCTCCTTCCAAGCCTTCAGAAGTGGACCTGCTCGCTAAAGGTCACGCGTCGCCGCAGGGTCATCCTCACGATTGAGTGTCTGTTTCTGGTCTGATGAGAAGTCTGACCAACCGACCTTGTGGATCATATCGTACTTCGGCACCGTCAGGTCTTCGAAGCTAGCGGGGTCAAACTCCTCGCGGAACGCGCTCGCTTGGAGCTGGACATTATGATAGGATAGGGCTGCATGCGCGTCCACGGATTTATTCGCAGGGCGACACATGTGATAAAGCGTTCAGGGTCAATGCGAGACGATCACTAAACAGACAAAGTGCAGATCTCACCGGGATTTGGATACGAATCCGGTGGGTACGTTCCGTTTTTCACACTTAGCTTGTCAATCCATTTCCGCGCGGCATCCTTCAGCTCGTCGGACGCTGTACCAAGACCAGACGACCCAGGTCGCCGGTGTCATTACGGATCATGGGCAGTGGACACAATGTATGAACACATTCAAGTCGGAACATGTTATGAATATGGGATGTAGCGAGACCACAGGGGGATCAATGAAATGTGCGAACGGGAGTTGGGAAAACACTTACCACGAATGCTCTCGTCAACAGATGCGGCACGGATATCGTCAGCAAATGGAAGCGGTATGAGATGGAAGCCCGGTGGTTCGCGCCAGCCACTTTCGTCCACCTTCTCTGCCTGCATACATTCGAGGGTGTTAGCATGAGTGATTAAGCGCTGCTTCACACGAACGCGGATGTTTGCGATAGGAGATTGTTCGCATCTCGTCACGAGCAATCCAGAGTTCGGCCGCGTGGCATTGCTGTGAGAATGGGGTGTAAGCGAGGGGCATAGCGTACCTGAGGGAGCATGGCGCAGAACACGGGGGATGAATTACGCCGTGCTAGCGACAACACCAGGGCAATTTTTTTCTTTCGAATCATGGTACGCAATAGCGCGCTGAAAGTGCGTTTGCTCCCGGAATATGACTGTGGGTCTTGGCCGTTAGCGCTTGCCGAGGGACATGTGGAGATAGCCTTCTGGACTAACCATTTCATCGGGATAGATGAATAGGGAATGTTTGACGTTATCTTCAAAGGCAAGTTCTGACCGATCCTTAAAGCCAAGAAGCTTGATGCCTGCGCATATGATATCCCCACCTGATGACCAGCATGGAGTGAAAAGAGGACCATACCAGGATCGAGCCCCATATTGCGGAAAGAGCGAACTTCGTCGGCGGTGTAGAAGACCTAGAAGACGAGAGAAACGCTGAGATAAGGTCGGATGGATGGGGAAACAGGCCATACACGACTGTTCAGCGACACCACCCTGGCCGAGGTCCCGCCTTCATCATCCGATGCAACTTCGGCCTCTTCAGCAGCGACCGTAGCACCCAACTGCAAGCCATACAGCACCCGCGTTCTCTCCGTCTCTGCCTGCCGATCCTGGAAAACCATGAGAACCGGGACGTCAGATCTCAACTCGGTCTGAGCGATTGATCGTTACCTCATCGACATAGACTGTCCGAGACGTCGCAACCTCCATCCGATCTCCGAGGTCCACGAAATATTTGTACGCACCCCGGCGCTGTTCGGTCACCAGGCCATAGCTGTGACAGTTTTTGATGCATCGCACTCATCGGAATCAGAATTGGACAGATGTACGCACCCTTTCACACCGATTGTGAGCCCCGGAGCGAGTTGCAGGGGTAAGCTGAATAATGCACGCTTCGGGACTTCGTGGAACCGCATTTGTTGAAGTAAATCGTCGATTCGAGTGATGGATATCGACTCGGGCAAAACCGTGGCGGCCGCATCACCGTCATCAACGAGATTGTGTGGCAACAGCACCGACTAAGGTCCATTGAATTGTGGATGAAAGCCTCTCGGGAACATAGATATTTACCGAATAAAATTTCGCTGGTCTAAATTCCTTTTCTTCTGTGCTTATGAAGAAGGGTTCCACGATGACGCCTGCTTGCCCAAGATCCTATTCAAAGAACAAGGCATTGTCAGCAACCCCGTTATTCTGACGCATAAACAATGTATGAGAAGAGGGGCTTACAATGTGTGTCGTTCGAGCTGATGTGATCAGTCGCTCTCTGGCGGGACCGGGGTGGGGATCATCTTCGTCTGTAATGAGGAAGATCCGTTTCGTTGCTGTTTTCGGCGCACTGTCGCCGTGAAACATGTTCGGGGAAAGCTAACTGCAAAGCGCGCGGAAGCTTACCCATCTCGGATCACCCAATTACAGCTGGTAAATACATCGCCCATGGGCACGCGGGTTTCGGTGAGTGGAGGAAACGCCTCGCGGAGATGATTAGGGTCTTCTCTGGCGGCTTGGAGAGCATCGGAAGTCATTTAAGAGACCTAACGAATCCCTGAACGGAGAAAAGATACCTTCAAGTAGCCGTATCAACTCCTGCACGCTGGGCGCGTTGATGGTATTGATTGGTTGATGAACATAAGTGCCCCTCTTGATCTCGGCGCTTTGACCTCCAGGCTCGTTCCTACGAGCCTATCAATTAATTCACAATGAGGTATTGCATACCTGCATGAGCCTCAAGCTCTGCAAACAAAAACGCGACGAGCCCCACCGTGTTGAAAAGCATGATTCCGACGGCGTCGTTCGGTCCTATGAGCACCTTCTTTTTCTCGATTTCCATGGCAGCTTCGAGTGCCGTGTACAGATGGCACGTCTGCAGGTTCTCATACTTCGGATCATCGTGTAGCTCCAGCATTGATGGAGAACAGTCTATGCAAAAGAGAATCACGTCTCTCCTGCCATCAAGATACTGTGTCGTTGGGATTAGACAGGGTTTCAGTAGTCAGAGCAAATGAATAAATAAGCCAACGGCGAGGCTCACGGTGTTATCCTGCAACTCGTCCTCATCGTCCTCGTCAACCTTGTTCCAGTCGTCATACGGTGGCATTTTTGTAGTGAAGCGCGGGTGGATAGATAAGTTTGCTCGACGAGGGCAGGGGTCGGTGGTGGCGCGCCAGTCGCGCTTCGGAGTCGCAAAACGCGTCGCGCTTGTGGGCGCGGAGCTTGTGGACATCACGTGCACCGGCAATGTCTAAATCTGGATGGCGTCGAGCTCGGCCGCCACTCTCATCTCTCTACGCCACAGGCTCGAGCCCATGACTGTCGCTCGACGATTGAAACAACATCCCCAGGACAGGTGATAATCAGAATACAACGCAAGGTGCATAACAGGAGATAGCAACGTTCCTTAGCACGCTCTCATTGCTTCCGTCAGGCTGTCAGTCGTCGCGGAAGCATTAATAACCGGATCCGACTGTCGGTCAAACTGAGGGACTTGCGTTCATTCTTAGGCGGTTGAAATCTTCTGCAGCTGGTGACAAAGGATACAAGGCTCGTCCAGACCCTTTGCCATGTCTACGTCAGCAGTCACGCAGCAGCTTCCGCCTCTGCGCCGAATTTCTGTTGAAGATCTTCGTCAAGACGACATACCCACCACAAAAATTCGCACCGATGACGACGCCGCATACTGGAAAATTACGCGCGGCTACCAGGATCTTGGCTTGTTCCTCCGCCGCCTGACGGAATCCGTCGTCGGCCGCACGCTGCCATGGACAGACCCAATCAGCGAGGTCGGTGGACCGCTCTGCGCGCATCATCGAAAATTCTTGGCTCACAGCGCGGTAGGCGACTAAATCGATGATTGCGCTACTCGATCTGCTGGATAGCTGGATAGACGAAATCCCACCGCTACCGACCCCTCAACGATTCGGGAACCTCGCGTTCCGGACATGGGGCAAGCGTCTCGAAACTGTATGTGGTCTGCTAGCCGTCGCATGTGCCGCACGCGCTCTGTCTGACGATAGCGCAGGAGGCAGATTCTGTTCTTAGCAAATTACTCCCTGCATCACTGCAACCGGCCGTGCCGTTCCTGACTCCGTATCTACTAACGTCCTTTGGGTCCTTCACTCGGATGGATTATGGGACGGGTCACGAGACATCCTTCGCCTTGTGTCTGCTTGGCCTTTCGCTCGTACGCTTCTTCGAACCAGAACCCCATGTGGAACGAGAAGTCGTCCTGTGCGTGTTCGTGCGGTATATGCGCCTCTGTTGGCGGCTCCAAGACGTGTACAAGCTGGAACCGGCAGGCAGCCATGGCGTGTGGGGTCTGGACGACTACAGCTTTCTAGGGTACATTTTCGGCAGCGGCCAGCTGCGAGGTCGGTCTTTGTCGCTTCATGTTCGGCTGTGCGACCTTAATGTGACCGCATCGCTCGCACAGATCAGGCTGAGATTCCGGTCGTGGCCGTGCTGCGCCCGCCACTTCCGCCGACGAACCTATACTTTATGTCGATTATGCGCATACACGAGGTGAAACACGGACCGTTCCACGAACATTCGTCTCAGCTGCACTCCATTGCTGCAGGCGTCGCGAGCTGGGCAAAAGTCAACTCGGGTCTGTTCAAGATGTACGAGGTGAGGATAGCCCGCCGTTTAATTACCCGTCTTTTTCCAAGGGTGTCGATCGCTGATGCTCACGACTGCGCACAGGCGGAGGTTCTCGGAAAACGCGTCGTCGTGCAGCACATCCCACTGGGCGGACTCGTCGAGTATGGGGTCCCTTCCTACGCACATCATGCCCCTCGCACGGAGAAACCGCCTGCTTCTGGAGTATCATCCCACGCCCCTGCCGGGAGCACGGTAGCAGCACTGGGGCGATCTTCCTCGTACGATGAGCCGAAGAGCGGGGCAGGGTATCCGCGCGACCTAGCTGGTGCGCCTGTAATAGCCCCGCGCAGTCACAATACGACCGCATTACGTGACGTCTACCCTATGAATCGCCCGGGGGCAGAGGCCCCCGTTGTACCGGCGCGCATGCTTCTCGGGCCCAGCGCAAGTACAAGTCTCAGACCGCACAGCAGGACGATGGGCCCTCCGGCGTCCATGAAGAGCGCCGTGCTTCATCAGCTGGATATGAAGCCCTCTACCTCGGGCAGTGGTGACGACCCCCATTAGGGAGACCGATGTATGAACGCCAAGCGGACACCGCCTTCTTGCATGTACGAACGCACTATCGGCCGAACTATCAAACATACTCAGGATGCACGCACAGCGATTGTATCATCACACGCGCTCGGAGCGATGTATTTTTGCGCGAAATATATACTTTCGATCTCTCTGTTTCCCTTCGGAACCACCCTGCTCGTGGCTGTGAACGTGTTTCCAGTTTATGGACGTCGTGCGGTGCAGCTGCGCAGGGTGCGTGTCGCGCTTTTCGCGCTGAGACGCGCCACTACGGAGAGAGTCCCGGGCACGTGGGAGCGCTGCCCCGCGGGAATGACCGAGACTGAGACAGTGTAATCGATGGAAAACTGAGCGCAAAAAGGTGTTGAGCGCTGTCTTGAGCAACCTCCATCTCGACGACCGCCTGCTGCTCGCCGTCCCTGCCATCTCTGCCGTCGTGCTGCTGCCCGAGCTGCGACGCAGAGACACGCCTCTGCCACCATTCCTGACCAGGCGCGAAACGACGACCTCCGTCTGTTGACCCTCGAGTACGTAAACGTCATTCGTGGGTGCTGCGATTTGCATCGACTGACGCTGCCGTCCACGCAGGTGGTCATCTGTCCGTGGTTCGTTGCGTCCTTTCTGCTGCCGCGCGCCCCGTGCGATCTGACTGTCGTCCACTCAGGCGAACCTCCCTGACAGGCCTTTCACACGTAGATTTTTTGCTTTTGCCTCGCCTGCCCCAATCGCTCCCAACCTTCTTTGTCTCTGCATTCTCCACTCTCTCTATCTCTTCTAACCCTCCTGCTCTCTTCTTGTCCTCGCTCATCGGCGAGGATATTCCCCCGCGGCTGCAGCAACCCTTCCGTTACCGTTCTCTGTCCGCCGCGGCGGCAGGCTCGGTAATCTGGGTGCCATTGACCACAGACACACAGATACGAAAAGAGACACTCGTTCTCAACTCGCCCCGACTCCTTTTTTCCGAATTGACGACGCACCCGGTTTTTTCTGTTTCTGATTCCGTAGAGCCCACTTGCACACCAGACGGAATGGCGCAGGTCGAGGTGCTCCCCGCGCACGGCCCGGTCGAGTTTGACGCGGTGCCGTGTTCTCCCGCCGTCTCGACGGCGGTGCCGGACCAGTTTTTTTCTGATTTTTACACGAACGGACTGGTGTCGCCCTCGTATACCCCCCCAGCACACGACACGATTGACGCCGGCGCTGCGTCTGCCGAGGACCATCAGGACGGCGACGTGGACATTCCCGGGCTGCCAGCGCTGTTGCGTGGGCACCCGGACATCCATCTGAGGAATGGAATCATGAACGCGAGCAGGCTGGCCGCCGAGGGCGAAGTGGATGCGGAAAAGGCGTTCTTCGTTGCGGACCTGAGCAGCGTGCTCCATCAGCACGAGCGGTGGCAGGCGCATTTGCCGGAGATTGAGCCGTTTTATGGTATGGTCGGGCGCGCTTCTCGCACGTTATGTGGTGATTGATGATCCGTGTTGTGTGTGCAGCGGTGAAATGCAACCCGGACCCGTACGTGCTGCGGCTGTTGGCCGGGCTGGGCGCAGGGTTCGACTGCGCGTCTGTGGGGGAGATTGGGCACGCGGCCGAGGCGGGGGCAGCCCCGGGGCGGATAATCTTCGCGAACCCGTGCAAGGCGACGTCGTTCATCCGGAGCGCGGCCAAGAGCGGGGTGGACATGATGACGTTTGACAACACGGACGAGCTGTACAAGATTGCGCGGGTGCACCCGGGGGCGAAGCTGGTTGTGCGGATCCTGACGGACGACTCGAAGAGCCTGTGCCGGCTGGGGCTGAAGTTTGGGGCGCCGCTGGGGACGGTGCGGGGGCTGCTGAGGAAGGCTCGGGCGCTGGGGCTGGAGGTGATCGGGGTGAGTTTCCACGTTGGGAGCGGGTGCTACGATGGGACGGCGTTTGCGGATGCCGTACGACGAGCGCGGGAGGCGTTTGACATGGGGAAAGAAGCCGGGTATGAGTTCAGCCTGCTGGACGTTGGGGGAGGGTTCGAGGACGAGACGTTCGAGGAGACGGCTTCCATTCTGCGGGATGCGATCAGTCAGCACTTCCGGGAGAGGAAGGAGGTGAGGATTATAGCCGAGCCGGGACGGTTCTACGTGTCGAAGGCGTTCAGCCTGGCGGCGAATGTGATCGCGCGGCGTGGGCCTGCGGATGTTGAGGGGGAGGGGGAGGAAGAGGGGGAGGGAGAGGAGCCGAGGGTGATGTGTAGGTGTCGATGCTGTTTGGGGATAGCGAGGGTGGGCGCTGACTGGACGGGGACTTGATTTGCAGACTACATCAACGACGGGGTGTACGGGTCGTTCAACTGCATCCTGTTTGATCACCAGGCGCCGATGCCGTACGTGCTGTCGCTGAACGGGTCGTTCCACGTGCCGGGGACGGTGGCGGAGGGGGCGAGCAGCGTGTGGGGGCCGACGTGCGACGGGATCGACTGCGTGGCGGGGCTGGTGCAGCTGCCGCGGACGCTGGCGGTGGGGGACTGGCTGGGATTTGAGAAGATGGGGGCATACACGCGGTGTGCGGCGAGCCAGTTCAACGGGTTTGCGGTCAGCAAGGTGACGTACACGGCAGGGGCGAGCGGGGCAGAGGTGCGGAGGGTGCTGCGGGCATGGGCGAGTGCCAGGGCGAGGGCCGGATAGGGAAGGGCGCCAGGACCGCGAGTTCGCACGGACCGAGAAATACAGAAACGGGATTATTGTGATTATTATGTGTATGTGCCTGCGATCGCGTGTTTCGGGACCGGACGTCGGGACCGCAGCGGGCGGCGCTCCCCGTGACGTCGACGGTCGAGGGGGGGATCTGCAGGTGATCGAGAGAGGTCCGAGGCTGCTCCGTCCCGCGCAGCCGCCGATGGCCGGACACTGGGCGGCTCCGGCAACGCCGCCCGCCTGGGGAGGCCTCCGCGCGGCGAGGAGCTTAGGCAACCGCCAACTCTAATCTCCCCCGTCTGTCCGGCAACGTCCTCGAGGGGGGGGCCGGCCTGGCGACCGTCTGGGCTGAACGGTATTGCCAGGCCGCCCGCCCCGGGAGATGGGATCTGTTTATATCTAAGCGGAGCAGCCGAGGCTCGGTGCCTAATCTGCCATTTGCCATTTTCCCGCGCGCCTTCCCATCGAAGGCCCACGGCTCGAACACAAGCCAGAACGCTATGTCGCCAATATATATATTCTTGTCTGTGATGCCTCATCATCCTTATGAAATTCTCCCGTGGCATGCTGCGTCGCCATCCCCTATTTCAAGCCCCCTCCTCCGCCTCGCCCTCCCTCCGCCTTATCGTCCCGTCCGTCCACGCTTATCCCCCCTCTCTATGGCCCTTGGTCCCAACCGCTCCGCTAGCATGTCCTCCGGCCTCCTCCTGGTACGTCCCCTCCAGCCATCCTCGCCGTCCCTCGTCGCTCACCCCTTGCCACCGCCACCGCACAGGATCCCATGCCCACCTCCAGCACCGAACCCTCAAACGTGGGCCCCCGCTTCAGGCCGTACGCGAGCCCAAGCCATCATGTTACAAAAGGCCGTTACATCACCAGCAATGATCCACGAGGCTATATGTACGCACCCGCTCTCCTGCCGCCACCTGCCCGTCTGACCGCCACCGTCCGCGCCCAGACCCGTGTTTGAATACCCGCTGCACGGCCAGTGGATCATGCTCGACATGGACGACGGCTACGTCCTCTGGACGGGCATATGGAAAGGTCCGTCTGCCCGTCGTCTCCCCGCCCGTCGCCGCCGTGCTCACCACCCCGGCCCACGCAGCCCTGGGCAACAACAAAGGTAAGCCCCGCCCCGCCCCGCGCCGTGCCGTGCCGTCGCGCCCGCCGTGCTCACCGCCCCCCGCCCCGCGCAGCGGACATTGTGAAGATCATCGACTCGCAGCCCGACCTCGCGTCGCAGCTGCGCCGAGTGCGCGGCGGGTACCTCAAGATCCAGGGCACGTGGATGCCCTACGAGATCGCGCTCCGCCTCGCCCGCCGGTACGCACCTCGCCGCCCCCGTCTGTACCTCTGCTGACCCGCCCCGCCGCAGCGTCGCCTGGCCCATCCGGCACGACCTCGTGCCGC